GCATGTATTGTGTGTATTGCGTGTGCGTGCATGTATTTGTGTGTGCATGTATTGTGTGCATGTGTGTATATGCGTGCGTGTATGCATATGCTGTGTGTGTGTGTGTGTGTGCATGTTGATCTCTCAGCCTTAGGTCATAGGCTGCTTGTTACCAGAAGCTTTTGTCAGAAGAACATCACATTGAATTCTCTTCAGAAAAACACCAGCACTAGGAAACTCAGGTTTCTAGATAATTTCTGACCGGGAGAGGTTAGCATTTAGTAGAGTGTGTGGTGTGTGACATATGCTCAGAAGCGGGGGAATGAGAACCTTTGATCTCTTTACCTTCACAGAGGGCTTAGTTGTCCTGCAGGGACCCTTCTCTAGCCACCTCTGGTTCTGTTTCCTGAAAGCTCTCTGTGGCTTATGTTGGCTTCAGAGCTACATGGGTTCCTCTGCTTCCTTGAGTAACATCTTCATCTTCCCCCCCTTGCCTGTCACACTCATCATTACTGTCAGGCACTCATTGTGCGACCCATTTATCGCTTATTCCTGGAGGGGAAACAATGACATTCTGTCTGGAGTCGTGGCGGGGTTTGCTAAGGGCAAACTGCAGTGAGTTTAGGGAAGTAGCTTCAGAGTGAGGAGGAAGGAGTGGAATTGTCTTAGGCGGCTCCGTTGACTGGGCGGTGGGATGGCATAAACGGAGAAGACAGCTGCCAAGGCGAGCCCTGGGATCTAGACTCAGCCAGGATGCGATTTGGTTAGGATGTCTGTCAGGAAATATTTCTTGGTGCTGATACAAAGAACAGCAGGAATTTGAGAACCAAATTGTACTGTCCTGGTTCTTTTCTGGGATGGGGGTGGGGCTTAATGGCATGGAAGTGATTTTCTGTCATTCATTACATCAGGGCTGTGGGACCTGGGTGCACCTTCCTCTTCTGCCTCATCGCAGGAAACTCCCCTGCACGCGTCCCACTCCTCATCCAGCTGCGCCTAACTGATGTTTTCAGGGCCCCACCTCCACTTCCTGTCCCAGACCATCCCTGCTCTCTCTGTTGGGAAAGTTCTCCCACCCTCTCTCTGGGTGTCCCCAGGGTCGGTGTCCTTATCCCATCCCCCGGGGAGGCCCTGCTGCCTGGGGGCCCAGGTGGTCTGGGACCCTTCCCCAGTTTGAAGGCTGTTAATCTGTAGACCCAGCCTCTCCGCATGTCATATAAATCCTCCAGGATCGGGTCTGGCTGACCCAGCCTTCCTCTCCGACTATCACTGACTGTTCCCTTCATCCGTTTCCCAGAAATGCCGGATAAACTCCCCGGTCACCTACTTGGGGATGCTATAGAGATAAGGTGGGCTGTGGGCTCCAGGATCCCCTCCCTTCTCTCTCTTCCTCCTGTCTGCTGCCTTCTGCACCTGAGTCTGCAGAAACTGCTGCATTTTAAAGGAGACTCAGGAAGCACCCCTTCCCAGAAACTCCCCAGGGCCAGCTCCCCCACCCCTGTCCCCTACGCTCCAGACCCCCCACGGGGCTCGGCGGAGAGCTCGCTGCCTGGTGATGAGATGGCTGAGCGGGACTCAGGCCCTCCTGTGCTGGGGCTGAGCCCGCTCCTCTGCATGTCTGGACCCTCATGCTTAGGAGGGGCTCGGAGGTGTTGCTGAAGGAGCTCACGTCACACGCATGAGGGAAGCACATGAAAAAGCAAGTGACCACTCAGTAGCAAAGGGAACAACTTACAGCACAGGACCTGATACAGGAGAAGGGGAAGAATTCTCACCAAGCTCGTCCCCGCGCAGAGGAGCCATTGTGCAAATGCGGAGCTTTGCGGATCTGCTAGAACAGGGGGCAAGAGTTGATTCCTGCGGGGTTAGCCTTTTGACAGGTGCAATTGCGCTTTTAAAAAATTCAGTATGACTTATTTTGAACCTATCGGAGGCTATAGAGAGTAACAGAATGAACAGCCTTGTATCTACCACCCTGATTAAGAAATAAAACATTCCTAGCACAGCCGAAGCCTTTAAACCATTATCCTGGTTTGGTGTTTAGCATTCTCATGTAGTCTTTCGTACTTCCATGTCGTAGTTAATTGGACACATGTATATATATAGCATGTGTCCGTCTTACATATATTTGTGTTTCTATTTTTGCAAAGCGTTGGTTTATACTGTATGGTTATGCCTTTGCAGCCTGCTTTTTCTGCCATTCTCTGGGTAGGGTTCGTCTACGATGTCCATGTAGATCGATCCGTGGAGTGCTGGTTAATCTTTATTGCTGTGTTGCGGTCCAGTTGGGGTATCTCATCAGTGGGTGCCTGGTTTGCTTCCAGCCTTTTCTTTCTACTCAGGGCTGCCGTGAGCACTGTGCTTGTGTGTCCTGTACCCATGTGTGAGAGTTTCTTGAGGATGACTAACAGGGGTGGAATTTCTGGGTCATTGGAAATGTGCATCTTCAACTTTATTACATTTTGCAAAAATTATTCTCTGAGGTTTATTGACTCCATTGTTAACAAATGTGAATCTTTTTCAGTTTGGTAAGTCAGCTGTGCTAGTGTTTCAGAGGTAGTGGACTGAAGGTTATGTGTCAGTTGAAATAGAAGACACCCATTGAGCCTTAGCCGGATGCCTGATTTGTAGAGCCAAGAAGCCAGTTTAAAGCAGAGATAGGTATGTGGGGGGCTCATATTTATCTAAACGCCTACAGAGAAGGAGTTAGGTCATATTCTATAGGTTGCTCAGTATTTCCTTGTGCATTTTTGAGTTTTAAGCAATGAGCACTTTGGATTATTTTGGGGATCTAGCTGGCTTACTGTGGAGCTGTTTGTTGTCTGAATATTTGAGTGAATAAATGAATGGAACTGTGGAACTAAACATGAGAATGATAAAATAGAACAGAATAAAATTAAAACGAGTTAAAAGCTCACGGTGGCGGGGAGGATCCCCACGTTAACTTACTGTCAACCTGGCTGGAGGCTGAAGTTCTATGTCGCATGTGCCTTCGGCCAACACCTCTGTCTGGAGGCAGGGTCTCGACACAGTGGCTGTTTCTTTACTTTGTCATAAGCTCAGAACCCAGACAGGTGTGATGTGCTTCTCCAGGGTGGGGCCTGAGCCTCCATCTGGGGCCAGACCTCTGATTGCCTACCTGATCAGGAGGCCAGGACATAGCTGGGCTGCCTCCCTCCCCGCCCACCTGTCAAAGCGCTGGCTGCCCTGCAGCGGGTCTCCAGCTGGGAGGCAAGTACTTCTCTACAGCACCTCCTGCCCCAGCCTTGTTGCCGTGGAATCTTGGCTCTTGTCCTGGAGATAACACTTCGCTCTGGCCAGGTGCCTTGTGAGGTCCCTGCTGAGTGTCACCTTAAAGGGCCGTCTAGAACATGCTTGAGGTGGTGTCTTAGTTCGCTAGGACGGCCGAAACAAAGTGCCACCAATTGTGTGGCTTAAACAGACACCTGTCTCCCGGTTCTGGAGGCCTGGTCGGTTTCCTCTGAGGCCTCCGTCCTTGGCTTGAAGGTGGCTGTCTTCTCCCTGTGTCTTCACAGTCTCCTCCCCCGTGGGTCTCTTGTTCAGATTTCTCCTTTTTATAAAAACACCGGATACATTGGATTAGGACCTAAATTAATAACCTGGCTTTAACTTGGCTACTTCTGTGAAGACCCACTTCCAAATAAGGCCATGCTCTGAGGTCCTGGGGGCTAGGATTTCAGCATACATAGTTTGGGGGACACAGTTCAACCCCTAATGGGCAACAACACACTGTAGGTTTATGTGTGAATTGTTCAAAGGCTTCTTGCAAACACTTGATTTTCAGGGACGAGGGAGGTGAGCGCTCCAGGCAGTTTCACCCTTTCCTCCATGTTTACATTTGCATTCTTGACAAATGTAGCAGCAAATTCAGTTTGTTACCCCAGACTTGGTCTAGCACAGCGAGCTTATTTACTTGCTGACTGCTAGGAAGGAAGTTTCAGAGATCAGTTTTAAAAGAGAGATTTTGTCCCTAGAATTACATATAAATTGATTTTGCCCCGTAACAGTTTATTGCCTGAAGGCTTGCCTTGTGGGCTGGCTTTTTCGTCGTTGTTGTCCACTTGTTTTCAAGTTTATTTCAGTTATTGTTAGAAAAAAGTCTGAAAACTTTTTTGTTGTTGTTGTTCTAGATTTAAAAGAAATTGTATTTGTCATCCAGAGTCAAAGTAATTCTTTTCATGCAAGAAAAGCAGAACAGTTAAAAAAAAGCGTCTTAAAGCAAGCTGCAGATCTTACACAGGTATGTGGAGACGGCCTGGGGTGTCTGGTAATTACTTATTTCTTGATGCATCATGTTCCCAAAGCTCTTGGTCCGCAGAGAATCAACTTTATTTAGATGAAGATACCTCTTCTGATTTGTTTCGCTGGCTTAATAGGGACTATTTATTGTTTAAAATGCTCTAGTTATTCCTAATACTCAAAGCATCATATTCTAAATTATTATATGTGTATTTTAAGAGAATCATATAAATGGTATGGGACTATCATGGTTTTGTCAAGAAGTGTGATAGAAAAAATTGGAAAAAATAACTTTTTAAAGGCAGGGTTTAAAATAGCATAGATAATTAACTTTTAAAATTTTGGTAAGAAGTCCTATGGCAATTTTTAGGTTGAAATAACATTTTCATTAACCTTAGTGTGGTGCTTCGTCCGTGGGTCTCTTAATCTGTTTTTTAATTGGATATTATTAACTGAACTTTCGATTTGATTTATAATGTAATATCTGAGAAGGATTATGGAGAGAAAGATCGACACAGACAGGTACATTGTAATAATGTTTGAAACAGGCGTGAACTGAATTTAAACCTGTTCTGAATAATGCTGGGGTTTGGAGCAAAGGAAGAGCTGCCTTCTTGTGCTGCTGCTCGGAGCTTGCTTCTTAGGCAAGTGGAGAAATTCCTCCAGCCTTGGAGACAGACGTGCTTGTCCGGAGGCAAATAGGGCCGTTTCTCGGTTCTCTCAGCAAAAGCTCTTTGCCCAGAGACCCGTGTGCTTGACACATGGCTTGCTTTCTGTTTTGGGGCACTTGGAAATAAAGGGTTGGAAATACCAGTGGAAAAATTAACAACCTTAATGGCCTTCAAGGTTAAGCCCTGCTGACTTGACAGTAGAGTTTATTGTGCTTAATCTTTAGATGCTTTGCGGGCAAAGTTCATCCAGCCTCCCTGAGTCCCTGCAGGGACGGATCCTTGGCTCCTCTGCCGTGGGACATCATACCTTCTCCAGGGAGAGGGAAGAATTGCAGGCACCAGGCAGTGTTTTTGGTAACTGGAAATGGGAGCAGCTTGATGAGTTTACCATTCTCCTTGGCCTGGAAACCCAACTTTGGGGATTTTCTTCTACTCAGTTTTTTAGATGCCGTCAGGATGGAAGACACGCAGCAACCTTGGGGCCGGGCTTCCTCCGTGGGTCCCGGTGGAGGCGCCTGTGGCGGGGGGACGGGAAGGGGGAGCCCACACAGCCCCCGGGTCCAGGCTCAGCATTCGTGGAATCGAGCCCAGCCAGCCTTGGCACTCCCCCCAGCTGTGTGATCAGTGGTGACGTCAGGGCGGAGTTACGTATCGTTTGAATTCGTGTATGAATTAAGGGCACATGTATCTCTGGGACTTGTACGCTCGTTCCCAGAAGCACCTTCCCTCTTATAGACGCAGACTCACGTGTGATGAGAGTATGTGTCTTCCCCCTTGAATCCATGCTGTTAGTCCTGTGGTCAGTGTGGATGCCTACACACTTTGCCAGCCAAGGCCAGCTGAGTGAGTATGCCCCAGTACTTCCTTTACTGTTTATCAGCTCCTTTTTTGTGGTTTTTTGGGTTAAACTTTTTCTTGTGTGTGCAAATCGCTACTCATCACTGGCTCCCTGCCTGCCTTTCCCCCTCCACTCTTCTGGGAAGAGGCGTTTCCTGGGAGCTGGGGGCAGGACAGTGCTCCCGGGACTTGGTTTACAGTGGGGAAGAGGTGTGTGGGCACCGCTTGGTGGAAAGCAATGTAGATTATAAAACATTCCTCCTCCTTTTCTGCCCCACAGGCAGAGGTACGCCTGGGGGCTGGGAATACCTGCTCCTTCGGGAGGCCCGGGGGCTCTGTAGGGGTCAGGCCCAGGACTGCTGGTTCTTAAAACTGTCTGGAGGTTCTGGGGAAGATGGTGACAGGTTCCCGTCTCAGCCAAGCTTGGCACGTTTAGGAATGGAGAATGGGCATGTCTCTTGGGCTTGTCTCTTGGGAATTGAGGCAGGACAGCAGTCCAAGAAGGTGTGGATCCAGCAGACCCCTGGGAACCTCCCATGCTCATTGCCTTTTGCCAAGACAGCCTCCCAGAGCTTGTTAACCAAAGTCCCCATCCCTGATCCCATCTTCATTCCCTGCCACTCGTCCCTTTGCATTTTATTTGCCAGTAATTTCAAACTCTTCGTGGTCCCTGGGGTCACCTGGTTCTGTCACACTGCTGTGGCCTTGCATGTGATGACCTTCGTCTTGACAAGCTCCCGTATCCGGTGAAGCCTTTCTGTGCACTGGCTTGATCTACGGGGACAGATCACTTCCTCTTTGCTTCCACTTTAAGCGTATACTTTACACTTTGGACTATTTTTATTTGTTACATCTTTGTCTCTTATGAATTTTGAGAGCAGAGAATGTGTCTGATTGGTTTCTGATTCTTCAGAACCAAGCACAGAGCTTTCCATGCACTGAACCTGAGTCCTCAGTGAATGTTAATTAAACTGGATCCCTGAAATTCATGGTCTCATTTTTCCTTACTCTCTTTTCTTTTTGATTTCTTTTTTTTTTTACTTTTTAAAATTGAAGTATAATCAATTACAATGTGTCAGTTTCTAGTGTACAACATAATGTCCCAGTCATGATATATATATACATATATTCATTTTCACACTCTTTTTCATTAAAGGTTATTACATGATATTGAATATAGTTCCCTGTGCTATACAGAGAAATTTGTTTTTTAAATCTATATTTATATATAGTGGCTAACATTTGCAAATCTCAAACTCCCAAATTTATCCCTTCCCACCCCCTTTTCCCCTGGTAACCAAAAGATTGTTTACTGTGTCTGCAAGTCTGTTTCTGTTTTGCAGATGGATTCATTAGTGTCTTCTTTTTTTCCCTTTTATTTCTCTTACAGTATGGTCACCTTTGACCACACACACGCCCCCACATCCACACACACACACTTGTCTTAAGTTACAGGTTCTTTGAGGCAGGTTCTTTGGCTTGCTCTGCTTTTGATTCCTCCACGGCACCTTAAATGTAGTGTGGATTCAGCATATGGCAGTTGAACTGAATCCAGAAGAAACTGAACAAATGAAAACTAAATATTACTTTGAGTAGATTATTTTTTCTATTAAAATTTTGGGGAGTAGTTCTTAAATGGATAGTGGCCAGCCCCTCTCGTATTAAATATAATGTCTATTTTACTTCTCCCTGTGAAACCAGAGTTTAGGGGGAAGAGCAGAATAAAACACTGAGCATGAGTTGGTGCTCTGAGAGTCTGATTTCATGATTAAGTGAATCTTTGAGAGGCAGTATGGAAAAGCACCAGAAAATTCACTGACTGCTTTCACGAAGACTGCATAACAATGACTAAGGAAGGTGGAGCCTTACTCCCCCCAACACAGTCCATTTGAGGGGCAGGGGCTGGCAGCTCTGGTCTGGTTTCTTCCGTCTTGTGACTTTGCCATAGGCTCAGGTGTCTGGTCCTTATCTGTGTGGTTGGAGCTGGCTTACCGCCCTTACATGTGCATTCTCATGTGTGGAGGACGAGGATCCTTTTAAGGATGTGACCTTGAAGTTGTATGCTCAACATTAGAAACTGTATTTTCATGGATGCGCGAGTCTCAGCTTTTAAAACTCAGAAAACTGTTCCATTTCTCGAAAGTATTGAACATTTTTAGCACTTTATTCTGTGCTTCTATTTAGTTTCAGGGTGCTTATACTTAAATTTTTGTTGTCCTTTACATTTATAACTTGCAGTTTAGACCACCTATTTAGCCAGTGACTTAAATGGCCACTAGGTGGCAGTATTGGTTTTGCATTTAAAGACACCTAATTAAGCAATCTCATCAAGCAAACACCTCTCCCAGCACCTACTTTCTGTGATAATAAATGGAGCCTAGACTAAACCAATGGAAACCTCCCTTTAATTATCAGATAGCCTGTTTTTCTTATTCCAAAATTCTTTCCCTGGTGGACCCCAGCTCTGAGTACTGAAGTAGTTATGAAGGGACTTTATTCTAGCACTTGGGTTTAAACTGCTCACAAGATCCAGGGTGCTCTGTTACGACTCAGGTAATTTCACATTTGGGTTAACAAGTCTTTCGGTAGTTGAGCTGGCCAGGAGACTTTACAGTGTGCGGTCGTGTGTGATACTAGTTCATTTTTTCCTCTTTATAGTGTTCTTTATGTCACATATGTAATTGCAAGTTGAATTTATTCCATGCATAGCGTTTTGGAGAGCCACAGATTGTTGACAGCTCACATTGGGTCTGTGGACAGTTCTTGGAGCAATGCTGAGCTACCTGGACCTAGAACTACACACAGATAAAGAAGATGAACTGCAGAGAATTAAATGCTGAGATGCACAAAACATAGGGCATCAAAGTCGCTTTAAAGAGGCAGGTAATGGCTCCCTAGTTACAACTTAACTGGAATTTGTATTTTTAAGAAACTGACATATTCTTGAGAAAGAATTGATAGCTTAGTTGTCAGCCGTGGAAGCGGAGGATGGTTGAGTTCAAGGCAGAGCTGTCGGGGCACCCCAGCCCTGTGGTGGGGAGCGGGTGGCTCCCCCTCCGAGGGGTCAGTCCCGTGGTTTGCCAGGTGTGTGCTGTGCCTCTGATGGAGTGGGATGTCCCCTGGGCCCTGAACCCTGAAGTCTTTAGGTTGCAGTTTTGCTTTTCTCCATAGATTTGCCCACCATGAGCTTTCACAAAAGCTGCTTATGGGGGAGGAATCAGCGGTAGGTTTTATCATCTGAATATTTATCTGATAGCCCAAAATATCTGTTCCTCCCACAGTGCCAGATGTCTAGAACTGCTGTTTATTTATTCATTATACCTATTGAGTTGCACTCTACTATGAAATCTGCCAAAAATTGAGGTGCAGAAAAGTAACAGTTTCTGGGGTTACGCACCTGCTTCTAACTGTTCTCTTCTGCTCTGGCAAGTCAGTGTGCTCTTATTAAAAACACAAACACTTTTCATGCTTCTCATGTGAATAGAAAAAAAAA